ATCATCCTGAAACGAGCAGCTGACATTGCTGAAGCGCTATACAGCGTGCCCCGCAATCACAACCAGATCCCCACTCTAGCCAACACTCCTGCCCACACCGGCATGATGGGAGTGAACTCCTTCAGCAGCCAGCTCGCCGTTAATGTTTCCGAAACATCACAAGCCAACGACCAAGGTATGTGGGATTTCAAGAGCGAATCCTTCACGCTGTTGACTGCTTTTGGCCAGTGCCTATTAATATGAGCTGATGTCGCTGCTGTGCTCTCCCTCTTTTTCTCCCCGTAGTCATAAGTCTGATCGTGTCATGAAATGCTGCCTTTAACTTTCTCGTAATATTTAATTCTTCCTGTTCTTTCGTTTACTGTTATCATAAAGCATCTCCAGTGGAAAAAAAAAAAAAAAACCACCACTGGCAAAGCCTAGAAAGCTCTTTATTATTCACCGTAAATATACGAGGTGTATGTTTTTTATAAAATAATTATGTGTCTAGGTATCTCCACCTGGTTTTGGAACGTTTACACAGATAAATCTAATTTGACGTCTGTGATTTGAAAATACTTTGTTTACAGGCATGTGTGACATATATGTTACTAATAAAAATAATAGTTGATTTAATTTACCTGTTGTAATTGAAAATGCATGTAGCGTATTGCATTGAAAATTAACTTTGATACTAATGAAAGGAGGGAAACAGGATTATTAGATATGTGCAAACCTATTTTTTTTTGCTTGCAACGTAATTATTAAATTGATTGCTCAGATAGGAACAAATTGTTGTTTAAAATCCTGATTCTGCTATGTTTCCTCTTCTACAAAGATTGTCTTTTAATGCATTTCCAAGCTAATAAGCCTGATAAAATTCTGTACTTGATCTTGAATTAGTGTTCACCGATGGCTACACCTTATGAAAGTACGAGCTTGTTGGTAGCGTAAAAATACCAGCCACAAAATGAAGACCCCAAAACAGCCTTTTAAAGTAAATCACTGCAACAAAAAAAAGTTTTTCTTGTCAGCTATGGCATTTGAAGGTCTGGAGAGGCCGAAAGTGCATTCAGTGCGTTGGTACAAAGCGGGACTCGAGCCTGTTGATAATTGCTCCTAAAGACAAACGTGAAGGCACCTGACACAGCTGGATCGAAGAGAGCTTTTGTTGGCTGTCTGTGCTAAGAGGAGAGACAACAGAGAGTGTTCGCAGATGATTTAAGTAGGGTTGGCGTGATAAGGTTATCTCCAACTGCAAGAGTTGATAGGGCAGTAAGAGACAACTTAGAGCAAAGCTGTGCAATCAATTAAAACTGTGTAATATGTGCTGCATGAGGAAACCCCCCAGCCCTAAGTCTACATTATAAAATAACATTATTTTTTTGGGGTGGGGGGGTTTCTAACACAGTAGGTTACAGTCGCAACACAAGCAGTGTTTCCCCGCGAGGATATGTTCCCAGCAGTACTCCTCAGCAGTCCAATTACAACACAGTCAGCAATAGCATGAATGGATATGGCAATGCCGGCATGCCCAATCTAGGTGTACCAGGTTCCCCTGGATTTCTTAATGGCTCCTCAGCTAACTCTCCTTATGGCAGTAAGTGTCTATTTTTGGTAACACATCATCATATAGATTCATATTTACTACAAAATCAAATACTTGCATTGTTTTGATTTCCTATATTGTGAGCTACTGGATAAAAGGAGGGGTGACTCTGGAGGCTGGACGTAAAAATGAATATAATAAATTGATCTGTTTGTGCCATAATACAATCTCAGATAGAAATAAAAAAAAAAAAAAGAATTGGACTGCGCAATTTGTAACAGAAGTCCAACACAAAAGAGTTTGCCTGTTATCCAGAGAGTGGCCAAGCCAAGGCATTTCATTTTTTTTTTTTATATATATTTTTTTATATATATATCTCTCTCTATTTTAAGAGGCAAGGCCCTATCACTCTCTTTTTCCGTGTTTGCCGTGAAAACCTCAATCTGAGTCCTGATTATTTTTGCTTTATTGCAGTAGTGCCGTCAAGCCCTACCATGGCAGCCTCTTCGGTCACCCTCCCTTCAAACTGTAGCAGTACACACGGCATTTTCTCATTCTCACCTGCCAATGTCATCTCTGCAGTGAAACAAAAGAGCGCCTTTGCTCCTGTTGTCAGGCCCCAAGCCTCTCCTCCACCATCTTGCACCAGTGCAAATGGAAATGGACTTCAAGGTGAGCTGCATCTCTCTCAATTTTCTGTGTGTTGCTTTTTTTTGGTGCGTACGCCCAAGCCCTGATGGTTTATTTCGCAGCAAGGTACCTCGCTGTGTGTTTTAGGCTTCTGGTGCTTTCATAGTGCTGTAAAAGAGGAAGAAAAAGGGTAGTGGAAATGGTATGCTAAGGTTTTAAGCAAATCTTAGTTCACTTTTAATACTTGGAGAAAACAGGAGTTGTTTTTCTGGCATTTTCTCTTAGGAGTTCATGCCGTAAGTTTTAAAGTACAGCTGTATCCCTGGTTGCTTCCTGGAGGTTTCGCGTGCTCCCTGCGTTTATACGTTTTCTGAACACGTCCCTGGATGTTTAAAACCAGCAGCTTTCCAGCATACCGTGGCGCGGTTCCCTCGTCTGACGTAGGACACGACAGCTATTTGAAAACGGGTCGAAACGGTGTGAATGGGGTTAAGCTCGTGGCGAACTAACCCTCCCTCGGACCAGGCAGCCGTTGGTGCAGCGAGTCTGCACACTCGCCGCCCCAGCTCACTCTCCTACCGTGGTCTTAGAGCGGTCGCTGCCCTAAATGAGCAACTAAGTATTTTAATTAAGGCAGGCCAATTTAAGCCTCGGCATTTTTTTCAATCCGCATGCTTGCGCGTGGGTCGTGGAAGGGACAATTCGTAAGTCAGCTGCAGAATTTCCGTGGTCACCTGCTAGGAGCGGGGCAGGAGGGATTATGATACAGTAGTACGTTTGGTGGAAGGACAAAAGTATGACCTAAGAAGTCTTCCTTTTAATGGCATATTTTAGCGTTTAAAAGGCAACACTGTAGGATGCATTAGAATCGCTGAAAAGGTTTGTTTGCCTCTGTTTTACAAATCGTGAGCCTCGTTGCACAGTGCAGTACACTGACGCCCTTCAGATCCCACGGAAACCAGCGTGGGCTGCAGACACCTCTACCCTGGAGATCGCCACTCCTCTCGGCTTCCTTAGCTGAGACGTAGGTAGGGCAGGATCATTCTTCCTTCGTGTTGCCATAATACGATGAGCACTCCCAGGCAAACAGAAAAGGGCAGAGACGTCGTCCTTACTAATTCTGGACACTTGCATTTTGTGGTATCTTGCTTAAGGCACTTTTGGGAGACATAATCCCACAGAACTGCCTGTCCACCAAAAATCCAGGCCATTCGAGACCCGGATCTCAAACTGGATGTCCCTGTAACTTGTTATTAACTTCTTGGCCCAAAAAAGCATCTGAGAGCTTATGCACCCAGGTCAAAGACAGGCTGAGGATCCAGCTACACAAATCTTACCGTAGGGTGAATGCTAAAGAAAAGGATAATTAGAGCAACAATTTCTGTCACGGCATATGTGTTCAGTGGAAGCTTTGCTGTGCTACTGGAAGTGGAAAACTGTACCAGGTGTAAGCAAGCAATATTCTTAGGAAAGATTATCTATGCATAAAATAATCCAATGTCCTACTTTCCCCTTTTTACAAACGTCATCTAGTAAATACTTATAAAAAGTAAATATTGAAAATAAAAGTAAAATAAAATAAAATAACAAAATAACATAAAATAAAATAAAATGTGGTAACACACGGCTTAGATAAGATCAGCTCTCCCGTAGCAGACATTTACATACATTCTCATTAACTTGTTGATACTGCTTTATTCTGAGAAATAAAATTATTTACAGTTCTACATTAAAACAATCTAAATTTCTGTAACTTCAGTATGTAAATAAAGGGCCTCCCATGAGATATTCAAAGTTTCAGGTCTAGATTATTGCCAAATGGGGGTTTCAGAAGAACGGGGCAGGCTAAATGCCCAATTCCCAGCAGACACCGAGCCCCCAGTCGCCCTTGGCACCTCCCCAAGCCCCAGTAACCGAATGTGTTCATCCTCAGGTACAAAATGCCTTGTGTAAATGCCTGGTTGTTGACTTCAAATCAGCCAAAGCTGATTTTGTCAAACAGGTCATGAATTTAGCTCTTAGGCTGAGGCTCAACCCTGCCCTGGACTAAGCTTCTTCCAGGCCCAGGCATCCCACTGCAGGCTTAAAGATCCCTTCCACCTCTGATTTTAGGATGCTGCATTCCAAGCGGCAGACCTGGTATGATCCCCATGGAAGTCCAGCATCCCAAGGGTATTGCCAAAGCCCTACGTTAGGTGCCCCCGAAACCCGCGCTGCCGCCTCGCCGGACTGTCCCTACCTACGCTCAGGACTTGTGACACACAGAGGGGTCCAGGCGTGGGGATGTGCAGGAACTTTGGGTTTTTGTTCAGCAGCCAAACTGAAAAGGAATAGAAAAAAAAGTAATTTGCCCTGTTTTCCTCTGAAAACGTGTTTCCCAGCTGAAGCAGCTAAACTGCATCATTTTGTGCTGTGCAAAATGACCCACAGAAATAGCAAGAACGTCTTTCTGGTCTGGTAATTAGAGCACTGAGCTCCAGGGTTGTGACAATAAGTTGAATTATTTATGCAAAGCAGCACGGCACTACGAGGCGATGCTCTGTACCAGGAGAGTTAGGGGACTCTCTCAAGAGTTAAAATATGTGGGTTCAAGTCCCCTTGGGCTGAGGAGAAAATCAAACTGCATCTGACATATCCTTGGTCAGTTCCTTTGTCAGCCCAGCAGAGAGGCACCATCATTTTTTTCCAACCAAAGCTTTTAATTCAGACTCACGAAAGGGTTTGGGATGACAACACTTCACCCAGCTGTCCTCACAGATCTCAGCCAGCACCTCAAATTGAACTGCAGCCAGGACTGAGTGGCAAGACAGGGAAGAATTTGTCATATACCTCCTTCAGGAGACATTATAAAGAAAATCCAGCAATGCAGGAGATTATTTACACCCCATTTTACCTGTGCAGTTATTTGGAGAGGTTCTGCTTCCTTCTTCCTATCTTCTTACTTATTTGTGGACACTGAGCCCTCTTAAAGTTTAATTAGTTGCCTTCCGAAAACCGCAGGAACAGGTTGAAAGTTTTCTGATCAGCACATTCGCTACGTTAAATCAGAATACAGGATTCAAGAGCTGCAGGCCAACACAGCTAAACTATTCTGGTGATCCTCAAGTACAGAGCCTCATCACAGAGCGGGGTGTGAGGGAGCTGAGTGAGCGCTGAGGGCTCTGCACCTCAGAACGGTCACACACATTCAGCCAAGCCAAGGCAGAAGAGAGAGCTCGTGGTCACTGCTGTACCCAAGGTAAATCCTGCAGTTCACCAGTCTGGATAAGAAGGGATCACGTGCTCTTTTACTCACAGGGCAGGATATCCTCTTGTTTGTTATGTTACCTTTCCCCACACAAGCTCTGTTCTCAAAGAAAAGCCAGTTGGATAGGTTTCAGGGAAGCTGGTAGGCCCCGCTACGGCAGGGCATCGCGTGCCCGTTGTTCCTCTGAAGGTGTGATAGCACTGTGCTAACACCACAGGGACAGGACGAGGAGCAATGGCTTTAAATTGAAGGAGGGTAGGTTTAGATTGGACATCAGCAAGGAATTCTTCCTGGAGAGGGTGTGGGGAGAGACTGGGACAGGTTGCCCAGAGAAGCTGTGGATGCCCCATCCCTGGGAGTGTCCAAGGCCAGGCTGGATGAGGCTTGGAGCATCCTGGGCTATGGAAGGTGTCCCTGCCCATGGCAGGGGGTGGCACTGGGGAGGGGTTTAAGGTCCCTTCCCACCCAAACCATTCCGTGGTTCTATGAACAAGAGGCAGAGTCAGGTGAGAGCATGGCAAAACCCAACACAAACCGCCCTGCAGACACAGGCAGTCCTTTTATGTGGATTTGGGGGTTGATTGACCAATCCTTGCTGGGTAAACCAAAATGCTGTTCTTGGTACATCTAAGATGGTGAGAAAGCAGGAGTGGAACTACGATGCTCCATCTGATCTCAGATGGACTGTTTTGTCTCCTAACATAGTATAAAGCAGAGGTAGAGCTGCTCCAACTTCTGGCTTGTGGTAACATCACCCCAAGCATCAGGACCACCTGAGCCCACCTCACTGGAAGCAAGATCTCGCTGCTAGTAAGCATGACCCCAGAGAGCCACCCTGCATTGTAGGACCCACTGCCCAAGAGTCAACATGGAGAGGTCTAAAGCCAACAGGGGGATTCACTTTTTTTCTAAGAGATCCAAGGGAGAGGTTAAGAAGAAAAAGAATACAGAAGAAGACAATGTGGGGAAATCTTGGAAAGGTCAGCGTGCAGGCAATGCCAGCTAGAGCTAACGTGTAGCCTTCTTCCTTGCTGTGCTCGTGTGCCACCCCTGTTGGTGGCACATCCGTCCTCGGCCAACCGCTACCCTAATTACGGTCAAAACCCAGAAACGGCAGCTCGCAGAGAGGATACCCCTCTCTCTGTTGTCCTGTGACTCACTCCTGTGAGTACGTCTACAAAAAAGGGCCTTTGGACCTTATCCAAAAAGCCACAATCTTGTTAATTCCGTATGACTTCCAGAGCACAGTCCATGATCAGATATTTAAATACTTAGACCTTTCTTTACGAGCCGGATGCTAGTGTACACGTTCCTTAGGGCAGAGGGCTTTTCCCGTTTAAAACAATGGGCCTTTAAGGTACAAAATAACTTTTTTTTAGTGAGAAAGTGCTGGCTCGCTGCGAAGTTGGAAGTACAATATGTGTTCAAGATTTGGTTTTCAATTATAAATTACTTTTTATAGATTGTGGAAGATATTGCTCTCTGCTTAAGCTTTGTGACTGTAACGCAGCGCAAGAGGTTCTCTATATTCTTTTGAAATTGCATTCTGCTTAATTTTCTGGTCTTCCCCTGGATGAAAATATTAAAATTATTATTAAAAATCTAGCCACCTCATTTTTCTTTAAGAATGCATTTGGTATCAATTTGCACAGCAGGAAATGTAGTGCAGAAATTCACAATTGTCAAATGCTGCTATTAAAATAGTCTGAAGCACCAATTTTGCACCCCCCTCCCATTGTGCCGCAGAAAGAATTCAACAAAAATGGCTAAATTGCTTAAAGAATTCAGATTGTTTTTCCCTCTGAAAAGTATACAGCAGACAACCTGAATTTTCACAGAGCAGAAGCCAAACATGAGATTACAATAACGGCGTGACCAAGATGTGTAGCAGAGCAGTAGCACCACACAATGACCCGCTGTTTACTGAGGTCTTTATGCCCGCAACCTCTGGAAGGAAAAATCTGCACTTTTTTCTGCTAGACCGTTCTTTAAAGAACCAAATGTCCCGGCCAGATCTTGCCTTCTGCACCCTGTTCCGCGTGCTGGCTCTGACACAGCTTTTGTGCCTCACCATCACCTCGATACCGAGCGTGAT